TTATGGGTTTCAGAGGATGATAGTCCCCAAACTCCAATGGTACTGCCTCCAGTCGACATGATGCGAACTCAGCTTTGTAGTTCCTGTTCCTGGAGTGCCTGGTCAACAGCAAAACAGAGCCAATTAGTGGATGGGGACACTTAAACTGCTAAAAACTTCTGGTGAGACTTTCTCAATGATGTGGTAGTTCAGAGCAGCGCAATATTCTGACCAAGGTCAAAAAGAAACTACATTTAAAAACAAACTTTTTGGCCAGGCACGGTGGATCATACCCGTAATCCCAACACTTTGGGAGGCCTAGGCAGGCAGATCACTTGAGGTCAGGAATCTGAGACCAGCCTGGCCAACACAGTAAAACCCTATCTCTACTAAAAATATAAAAATTAGCTGGGCATGGTGGTGCATGCCTGTAAACCCAGCTATTTGGGAGGCTGATGCAGGAGAACTGCTTGAACCTGGGAGGTGGAGGTTGCGGTGAACTGAGATGGCCCCACTGCGCTCCAACCTGGGCCACAGAGTGAGACTCCATGGCAAACAAAAAAACAAACACATTTTTTAAAAATCTGTTTGAAGGTATAAAGAGCTGCCAGCATACTGGACTTGTCATGCCACACACCAGAAGACGGGAAAACTCACTACAGTGACTCTAAAACTCCTTGCCCAGCTTTCCTGCTCAGGGCATTTATGAATTCCTCAGCATGGGACAAGACGCTGACACCAAGCAGAGGGCAGCTGTGAGGCAGCAGAGCAGCTGAAAGGGCTCTAAGGAAACCTCACAGAGCTGCACAGATCAACAGGAGTCCAGGGCTATCAAGACAGCCAGGAGGAAGAGGAGAGAGCACAGGGAAGACAGAAATCCAGCCCAGATTTCCCCTCAAGGTATTCACCCATTGAGCTGCACTGGGCAAGAGAAAGCCAAACAGAAAGAAAATGAAGAGCTCACGATGTTTTCACTGGTTTCATGAAGGTTCAACAAGATAAAGGATTCGTGAGCTGGAAAATAAAGGGGGAGGCTGAAGCATGGGGCAGAAAAGCACAGGCAGACAGACGGAATTTCAAAGACACGAGGGATGAGAAGAGAAGGCTAACACACATATAATTGGAATCCCAAAGAGGAAGAGAGAGAGAATGTGCAAGAACAGTCTCTAAAAAGATTATAGGTGAAAGTTTTCTAAAACCAAAGAAAGACATCAAGCTACAGACTCAAGAAACATCCATGGCCCAAGTAGGACAAGTACAAAGGCAAACAGACAAAACACACTTAGAGCCTTTATGGTAAAATGTATAGAAACCAAAAGAATTTTTCTTTTTACTCTTTTTTTAAGTTTTTTTGAGAGATGGTGTCTTCCTATGTTGCCCAGGCTGGTCTTAAACTGCTGGGCTCAAGTGATCCTTCTGCCTCAGCCTCCCAAAGTGATGGGATTACAGGCATGAGCCACCCTGCCCAGCCTTCTTTGAGCATTTTAAAGATACTGTTCCTGTGTCTTCTTTGCTCATCTTTGTGCCGCAAAAGTCTTATTGTTGCTCCTTTGAAAATAAGGTATCATTTTAAGAAATTCTCAGCCAGGCATGGTGGCTCACACCTGTAATCCCAGCACTTTGGGAGGCCAAGGCAGGTGGATTGCTTGAACCCAGGAGTTCAAAACCAGGCTGGGTAACATGACAAAACCCCATCTCTACAAAAATAAAAATTAAAAAAAAATAAATTAGCTCGGTGTAGTGGTATATGCTTGTAGTCCCAGCTACTCTGGAGGCTGAGGTGGGATGACAGGAGTTCAAAGCTGCAGTGAGCTATGATCGCACCACTGCACTTCAGCCCGGGCAACAAAATAAGTCCATCTCTCTTAAAAAGAAAAAAGAAATCTGAAGGAGAGGAACACAGGAGTGGGGAGAAGGCAGAAAATGTTTTAAAATGATTCTCTTTACATTCTTAATCTCTATTATGAAGATCTGGGAATTTGATTTCATACCTTACAGTTTAAAAAAAAATTTTTAACTCACACACTTAACCAAATGTTTTACGCATGTGTGTATCCACATATAATTTTAAAAGCTACCACAGTCACGGAATGTCAGGTCCACAAAGTCAAAGACAAGTTAACCTATCTGACCCCTTTCTCATCTCCTCCCTTGACTCTCCAAGCAGAACATCTCAGCCAGTATGGAAAGTGACAAAGTCTCTCCTTGACCTAACTCTGTGCAGGCTCCTCTGAGTTCTCTCCCCAGCTAGTGGTTGGCTATTGGATTTCCAAGTCTGCTTTTGCACTACCCAGTTTTAGCAAGAATTCTGTTAAGTTGGTTGAGCCAGAATCCCCCTCCATATCCAATCGCTCTCAATATCTGATCAAATTCTTCTTCTATCCCCACTTGGCTATAAATTTCCACTTCTTGTTACATTAGGAGTGGAGGCCAATCTCTAGCCCTTATTGCAAAATCCCACTGCAGCAGCCCCCTAAAGCCTCTCTCATTTTCTTTAACAAGTGCCATGAATAATAGTTTTTCTTTCCTTTCCCTTCCTTTTTTTTTTTTTTTTTTTTTTTTTTTTTTTTTTTTTTTTTTTTTTTTTCCCCCAATCTTTCTCCTTTTTTCCCTTTCCCTTCCTTTTTTTTTTTTTTTTTTTTTTTTTTTTGTTTTCCCTCTTTTTTTTTTTTTTTTTTTTTTTTTTTTTTAAACAGAGTCTCTCTCTGTCACCCAGGCTGGAGTGCAGTGGTGCGATTTCAGCTCACTGCAACCTCCACATCTCAGGTTCAAGCCACCCTCCTGTCTCAGCCTCCAGAGTAGCTGGAACTAGTTATATAGACTATATAGCTAATTTTGTATTTTTTAGTAGAGATGGGGTTTCACCATGCTGGTCTTGAACTCCTGACCTCAGGTGATCCACCCGCCTCGGCCTCCCAAAGTGCTGGGATTAGAGGCATGAGCCACTGCATCTGCCCAATAGTTTTGCTTTAACAAAAGACATGCACACTTCTCATTTGTCAAATACCACATTCCAGAAAAACAGCTTTTCTAGGCACATGGGACAATTCTTGTCTCCCCCAACCCACTTTGGGAAAGAGGAACCTCAAAGAGCACAGGGACTTTCCTTGGCCTCCAAGTCCCTTAAATTCATCCCCCCACCCCACCTTCTGCTCCCATTGAGATTCCCAACTTCATTAACCTTTGTATGAAATACTAGTACCCCAGACCTAATTGTGCCATGCAACTGATCAGCTTTACCCAACCAATATCCTCCATTAACCCAGAAATCCAAGCCAGTACAAACAAATTGTGCTCCCATGTAATTTCATTTCTATCTTTTCTAAATGAACTCAGCTTTGAGTATAGGGGAGGAGGAGAAAGGTGGTTGACAATAACCAGTTCGACTTTTATTTTTTTTAGGGGAAAATCCCTTTCACAAGATATTGCCTACTCCCTCTGGGGTCATATTTATAAAATATATACTGTCTTCATCTTCCAAAAGACTGCAATTGAAATCACCTATGAAATATTCTTCCAAACTCCCATCTCATCAAGGATGCCATCAGGCAATCCTTGATTAAAAAAACAAAACCCCCAACAGTCAAGATGGAGTTTAAAACATCAAATGACACTTTTCTTCTTTTCAAATCACTTTTTTTTTTTTTTGTCACAAAGTCTTGCTCTGTTCCCCAGGATGGAGTGCAGTGGCATGATTTCAGCTCACTGCAACCTCCACCTCCTGGATTCAAGCAATTCTCCTGCCTCAGCCTCCCGAGAGGCTTGGATTACAGGTGTGTGTCACCATGCCTGGTTCATTTTTGCATTTTTAGTAGAGATGGACTTTCACCATATTGGCCAGGCTGGTCTTGAACTCCTGACCTCAAGTGAACTGCCCACCTTGGCCTCCCAAAGTGCTGGGATTATAGATGTCAGCCACCCTGCCCAGCTTCAAATGACTCTTAAGTTTGTCAGTTGTCAAGAAAAGTAGAATGTTAAAAGGTTCATTTAACAAAGAGAAAATTTAATATGACCAGAAAGTCAGTTCCAAATGTGTTTTCTGTCCCTAATGGAATTACTAACCAATCAGTCTGGGTGCAGTGGCTCATACCTGTAATCAAACACTTTGGGAGACGGAAGTGGGGGGATCACCTGAGGTCGGGAGTCGAGACCAGACTGGCCAACATGCAGAAACCCCATCTCTACTTAAAAAAAAAAAAAAAAAAAAAAAAAAAAATAAAAAAAAAAAAAAAAAAAAAAAAAAAATTACTGACAAATCAACAGCTGAGCAAACGCTAGATCAAAACAGAAATATAACTTCATATGCAATACTCAAATAACAGTTCTTACTTATTGTGCACTTACTATATAGGAGGCTCTAGGCCAGCCTTTACCTCCATTTCCTCATTTCATCAACCCAACAATGTAGGTACTATATCCACTTTTCAGATGAAGAAGCAGAGGCTGTTCAAATTTTGCTAATTTGTCAAAAGTGAGAGCAGCAATAGAAACCAATTCATTAGTTCCAAAGATTATCAATAGGTCATGTTGAGAACTTTAAAAATTAAGTATATGTCTATGTCTCTTAAAAGAGCCAAGTTTTAAAATGAATTTTATTTTTTTAAAAAAAAGGGGAGGTCTGGCACTGTGGCTCACACCTGTAATCCCAACACTTTGGGAGGCCAAGGCAGGTGGATCACAAGGTCAGGAGTTCAAGACCAGCCTGGCCAAGATGGAGAAACCCCATCTCTACTAAAAATTACAAAAAAAAATTAGCTAGGTGTGGTAACAGGTGCCTGTAATCCCAGCTACTCAGGAGGCTGAAGCAGGAGAATTGCTTGAACCTGGGAGATGGAGGTTGCTGTGAGCCGAGATGGCACTACTGCACTCCAGCCTGGGAGACAGAGCGAGACACCGCCTCAAGAAAGAAAGAAAGAAAAAAAAAAAAAAAAAAAAAAGGAGGGGGGCGGGAAATGGTGGTGAAAAAATACTTCTGGGCTGGGCAAGGTGGCTCATGCCTGTAATCCCAGCACTGTGGGAGGCCAAGGCAGCTGGATCACCTGAGGTCAGGAGTTTGAGGCCAGCCTGGCCAACATGGAGACGCCTCATCTCTACTAAAAACACACAAAAAATTAGCCGGGTATGGTGGCACACACCTGTAATCCCAGCTACTCGGGAGGCTGAGGCACGAGAATCGCTTGAACCTGGGAGGCAGAGTTGCAGTGAGCCAAGACAGCTACATTGTACTCCAGCCTGGGCAACAGCACGAGACTCCGTTTCAAAAAAATAAAAATAAAAAATACTGCTTCTGGAAATAAATCTTAGAAAAAAATTTTCTTCCTGAAAGCCCACTGTAAACCATCATATTTTGATTTTCTACCACCTCTTTGATTATTTCCTCAAATTTGCTCTCAGATCCTTATTTGAGATGTTAAAGGATTTTCTTGAATCCCTGGGTCTTTGGTAAGGATAACAGCGACCTCCTGTGGGCGTTTTCTCAAAAATCATTCCTTTTCTTTTTGCTAACATAGTGATATAAAGTGGTAAAAATCCTCATAATTCCAATCCCCAACAATGCAAAGGGCTTGTCTGGATCACTGGCACCTGCCACAGGAAAAAAAGCCACTATTTCACACCTCCACTCTTGGCTGAGCTTACCCTTTGGCTACTCAAAGTACAGTTCACAGATTACCAGCAATTACATTACCTGGGCGGGCTGAAATACCCCAGGCCTATGGAATCACAATCTGCATTTTAACTAAATCCTCAGGTGGTTTATATGCACATTAAAGGTTGAAAACTGCCTATTTTAAAATTATTTACCTCTGACAGTATGAATGCACAGAAATCCCACTATGATTAACCAAATTAATCTCCTTATACTGGAAACACCAAAATCCACTAAATGCTTTGCCCAGCTATTTTAATTCTCAAGTAATTTTCTGGTTACTAATCACATAATCAGACCACACAGCTTTTTCTTACACACACACACACACACACACACACACACACACATATACAAACACCCTCTCTTAAAATGATGTAGAGATTCTGACTCCAAAGGTTGGTATTTCTTTTTTTTCTGAGACAGAGTCTCACTCTGTCATCCAGGCTGGAATGCAGTGGCTCAATCTCGGCTCACTACAACCTCTGCCTCCTGCGTTCAAGCAACTCTCCTGCCTCAGCCTCCTGAATAGCTGGGACTACAGGCATGTCCCACCATACACAGGGAATTTAATTTTTTTGGTAGAGTCAGCGTTTCACTATGTTGGCCAGTCTGCTCTCAAACTCCTGACATCAAGTGATCCACCGGCCTCGGCCTCCCAAAGCGATGGAATTAGAGGCATGAGCCACCTCCCCTGGCCCAAAGGGTGGTCACACTTTCCAAGTGTGCCATAACCACAGGATTAAACAGAAAATGTGATCCAGCGTATACAGGACATCTCATCTCCTAGCCAGGCCGAAATATAGCAGGAATAGCAAAAAGTGTGGTAAAAAGAGGCATTCCTTGGGGGACCCATGGCAAGGCAGTGAGATTTGGCGAACCCCGCAAGCCAGAAACCTCAGCCCAGGATATAGATTTGAGGTCCAGCTGACCAGGATGATTACAATCACAGTCTCTGGCTTCCAAACCTCAGCTGTCCCTTGCGGGGCTAATGATTTTAAGTAAACTGCTTCATTTCTCTGCCTCTATTTCCGCATTTGAAACATGGGTTGCTATAAGAACTGAATTACGTTACACGTTATACACTAAGTGTGGTATCTGACACAAAATAAGAGCTTGATAAAGTAAATTTAATGACAGAAACTCATTTCTCCTCTGCAGTCCTCCTCAGTTTCCTCATTCATTCGTAAATACTATTCAGTACTCACCAGCACGTTCTAGGCTCCAGATACAAAGATGAACAAAACTCAGTCCCTTTAACTTTTTTTTTTTTTTTTTTTTTTTGAGACGGAGTCTTGCTCAGTCACCCAGGTTGGAGTGCAATGGCGATCTCGGCTCACTGCAACCTCTGCCTCCTGGGGATCAAGCAAGTCTCCTGCCTCAGCCTCCCAAGTAGCTAGGATTACAGGCACCTGCCATCATGCCCAGCTACTTTTTGTATTTTTGTAGAGACAGTGTTTCACCATGTTGGCCAGGCAGATCTGGAACTCCTGACCTCAGGTGATCCGCCCGCCTCAGCCTCCCGAGTAGCCAGGATTACAAGCACCTGCCATCATGCCCAGCTACTTTTTGTATTTTTGTAGAGACAGGGTTTCACCATGTTGGCCAGGCAGATCTGCAACGACTGACCTCAGGTGACCTGCCGCCTCAACCTCCCAAAGTGCTGGATTACAGGTGTGAGCCACTGCACCCAGCCAATCCCCTTAACTTTTAAGGAGAAGTCTAGTAGGGAAACTGAAAGATGAATGCACACTACAAAAAGAAATGTTCAGAGCATGGGCCAGGAGCGGTGTTTCATGCCTGTAATCCCAGCACTTTGGGAGGCTGAGGTGGGCAGAGCACCTGAGGTCAGAAATTCGAGACCAGCCTCACCAACAGGGAGAAACCCTGTCTCTACTAAAAATACAAAATTTGTCAGGCGTGGTGGTGAGCGCTTGTAATGCCAGCTACTCAGGAGACTTAGATAAAGAATTGCTTGAACCAGGAGGCGGAGGTTGTAGGGAGCCAAGATCTCAGCCACTGCTCTCAAGCCTGGGCGAGACTCCTTCTCAGGAAAAAAAAAAAAAAAAAATTAGAGCAGGGCCGCATTAGGAACTTTAGAGACGCTAAACACTCAAATTGTTACGGCATCTGTTTTCCTGCTGTAATATAAAATTAAAATGCCAAAGGTAAAAATGTACCAGGATGCAGTGATTAACAGAGCATCTTCCTGGATTTTCTGATTGCAAACTCCAGATAAATCCACTGAAGCCAAATGTTTCTCATGTTTTTGGTTAGCTTTTTGGTCAAGCCAGTATGACTTTTTTCTTTTTTTTTGAGACAGTCTCACTCTGTTGCCCAGGCTGGAGTGCAGTGCGGCAATCTTGGCTCACTGCAACCTCTGCCTCCCAGGTTCAAGCAATACCCCTGCCTCACCCTCCCCAAATAGCTGGGATTACAACGCCCACCACCACGCCCGGCTAATTTTTATATTTTTAGTAGAGATGAGGTTTCGCCACGTTGGCCAGGCTGTTCTCAAACTCCTGACCTCGGGTGATCCACCAGCCTTGGCCTCCCAAAGTGCTAGGATTACAGGCGTGAGCTACTGCGCCCAGCCAGCACGACTATTAACTGAAGGAAAACTCAGGGCGTGGAAGTGCTCAGAGGCATTCAATGCTGATGTAGTGTGCCAAGAAAGCAGTCTCCTAAGGGTTGGGCAAGTGAAAGGAATAAGGCAAAATCAGCTGTTTATCAAGCACAAAATCAGAAGGCTGTACCTACTTCTAACGTCTTTCATTCGCTCATTGAATCTAAGCTACTTCACATCATTAGGAGAGAAAGTAAATTATCTCACCTTATGAGACGCAGGAGAGATTCCGCGTCCCCAAATCCCACTATCACCAACACAACTTGCTCAAGTTCTTCACTCACACACTTACCACCTGCTGGACGCTGAAGCTTCAGTCACTCCCAGCTACTCCAACCACAGGGGACTTACGGGCCTGCCAACCTTGGCACACGCCAAGCCCTCACCTGTGCTGACCTCCTATTTATCCTCCAAGACCCAATTTAACTCTCCCTCTCTGAAGTCTTCCCCTAGCCCCCAGGTGGGGATAATCGCTTCCTTCTCGGTGTCTCATCCGAACGCCTTCTTTGGACATCCCTCTACTGTGTGTCTGCACCGTTATACTCTCACCTCCTTGAGGCCAAGGAATACGTCCGAGGGCTCTGCTTAGAGTAGTATGAATAGCGGCCATTTCACAGGTGAGAAACGCAAGTCTCCAGGTGAACAGGGCAGCTCAGGATAACTGACCGACAGCCACGTCTGCCAACTCGTCTAGACTGAGAGCCGAGTCCACCATTCCCTTCAACCCGCGCCAACTTCTGGAGACGCGGAAGCCGGGAAACTCAAGTTTTCTTTAGGGAATGAATGGACAGGGGGCTGTGGAAGGCCGCAGAGAGGCAGCAGACTGGGAGAGAACCAAGAACCCGCCAGTCTGGCTTCAGGTTGCTCCGCTGGACCGCAGTAGCGGCCAGAGATTCTACGGTCAAGACAACTTAGGGGTGGGCAGTCGACCACCAGAACCTGACAGAGAGGAATTCACATTCTCAGACCCAGACAGACTCCGACACAACCGAGGACAGCCCCTCCCGAACCGCGGCCGCCGCTGCTAACTTACCAAGGGAAGACCGCCATCTTCCCAGTCACATGACCGCTTGTTCTGGGGCCGTCGGCCCAGCTTCCGCCGTCCAGACCCCGCCCCGCCCCGCCCCGCCCCGCCCCGCCCCGCCCCGCCCCGCCTCGCCTCGCCTCGCCTGCCCTGACCGCCATCTTTGTGAAGGGCATCTGCCCGCCCCGCAGAGTCCGAACGGACCTTCTGCAGGCGCCATGCTTGAGAGGGGCAGCTGCCTGCTCAGGACGGCCCAGGTTACGACTTCCGCCTGCGCCATGCTTTTGAGGAGCAGCGTCGGCCTCTAGTAGCGTGCCGCAGAGTTTCTATGAGCCATGATTGTAAAGGGCAGCTGACTACAGGGCCGGGTGGTCCTGCCTCTGGGCGCTATGATGGTGACGGGCATGACTGCTGCTTAACCCACCTGCGCCCTCTAGGGGTGGAAAGGACTCCAGAAGCCGGCAGAGCGAAGACGCAAACTGGGGTTCAGCCAGTACCTGGTTTTGCCGCTAATGCGCTGTTTGGCGTGGGTCAGCCACGCCCCCTCTAGGCCGGCGCTTTACCCACTGCTTTGCGGGCGCTTTAGGCACTGCCAGAGTGCCCTTCGCACGACTAGCAACCACGGGCTGCCCTAGATCCAATATGATTGACTGCAGCTAATGCACGTGGGGAAATTGGGGTTCGCCTTTCGTCCCACTTGGCAAAGCAGTGTTTCTAGGAAAGTGGATATCCATTTCCACCACAGAACATACGGGCTTTAGTGTTCCCTCTGTTTATTTAAAAAGTGGGGGAATCAGGATATTTTCAAAACAGCTACCATTTACTAAATGCTTAACTCTGTGTGTCAGGTACTTTGCATGCACCCTTCATTTTTTCTTCACTACAAACCTCTGAAATACCATTGGTGTTGATTTTAGAGAAGATGAGGCTCAAAAAAAGTGTGGTGAATTGTACCAGGCCAGTAGCAAGTGACTGAACTGGGATTTGAACTCTAACTCCAAATACTGCAATGGGAGTCATTTAATCACAAGGCAGCATCTGACCCTACTTTTTATTATTTTTTAATTTTACTTTAAAGTTTTTTTTTTTTTTTTTTCAGACGTCAGGAAAACAGATTCTCAAAAGAACTCCTCTAGAAAAGGCAATTAGAATACTCTTTCAACTCTGGTTGTAGTTTTGCATAGACTCCTAGCTTTTTCATCTGTGAAATTAGGGTAACTTTGACTTTAAAGTGAAGGGAAAGGATTATAAAATGCCTGGCAAATGGCCAGCACTCCGCAGAAGCCATATTATCATGGAGCACAGAAAAGAATCATATGGTACTCCTGTGATCTTTGTGTTTCCACAGCGTTTCTCTCCAAGGCAGCATACTGTGCAACCTGTCACAAAGCAGTGCTTCTCTTGCCTGAATGTGGACACCACTCAGCTGAGAACCTTATTAAAATGCAGATTCTGAGTCACAGCTAGGGTGGGGCCTGGGCTTCTGCATTTCTAACAAGTTCCCAGGCGATCCTGCTGCTGCTGGTCCCTTCAGACACGTAAAGGATGGCAGCAGTTGCAGGTGGGAGGGTAGGTACCATGTAATTCAGGAGGCCATGAACAGGGCAGTATGGTATGCTTTTACACAGACTCAACCAAACCGATTAACCTAAGGCCTCGGAAACAGATCATAGGAAGTAATCCTGAAACAAGTTAACTTTATGGAAAGTGTGAATAACTAAGGGATTTTTTTTTTGCCACCAGAGGCTGAGAAGTCATGCTTTGGGTGGCAACTTTGTCCACATCCTTGAGAAATTAAAGAAGTGAGGGCTATGGAGAAACGCTGACCAAAGAAAAGAACAAATAAAGTGAAAGGTAATATTTTACTGTCAGATCTAACTTTGGTCAGGCACGATGTTTGCCCTCAGCTGTTAGAACCTAATGATGTGATTCCAACCATACCATATCCCAGTTTTTCCGTGTTCAATGACTAAAGGTCTCCTTTGTTTTTAAAAATTATTTTTAGGCCGGGCGTGGTAGCTCACACCTGTAATCCCAGAACTTTGGGAGGCCGAGGTTGGCGGATCACCTGAGGTCAGGAGTTCGGGGCCAGTCTGTCCAACATGGTGAAACCCTGTCTCTACTAAAAAATACAAAAATTAGTCAGGTATGGTGGGGGGTGCTGAGGTCGCAGTGAGCCGAGGTCGCACCACTGCACTCCAGCCTGGGCGACAAGAGCAAGACTCAGTTTCAAAAAAGTAAATAAATAAATAACGAGAATTATTTTTATATTTGAGACAGAGTCTCGCTCTACTGCCCAGGCTGCAGTGCAGTGGCGTGATCTCAGCTCATTGCAACTTCACCCTCAGGTTCAAGGGATTCTCCTGCCCCAGCCTCCAGAGTAGCTGGGATTACAGATGCATGCCACCACGTCTGGCTAATTTTTGTATTTTTAGTAGAGACAGGGTTTCACCGTGTTGATCAGGCTGGTCTTGAACTCCTGACCTCATGATTCTCCCGCCTTGGCCTCTCAGAGTGCTGAAGTTACAGGCGTGAGCCACCTCACCCTGACAGAATTTTTGTTTCTGAGATGGAGTTTTGCTCTTGTTGCCCAGGCTGGAGTGAAATGGCATGATCTCGGCTCACTACAACCTCCGCCCACCGGGTTCGAGCGATTCTCCTGCCTCATCCTCCTGAGTAGCTGGGATTACGGGCATGTGCCACCACGCCCGGCTAATTTTTTGTATTTTTAGTATAGACAGGGTTTTTCCATGTTGGTCAGGCTGGTTTCAAACTCCCGACCTCAGGTGGTCCACCCGCTTTGGCCTCCCAAAGTGTTGGGATTACAGGGGTGAGCCACCACACCCAGCCCCCAAAATTATTTTTATAACCTGCTTAGGTATCCATTATGGTCTCTTAGAGAGACAGCATTCAATGTTTTTATAACTCTTAGTTTTCATTTGCAGGTGGTGGTCTGTGATTGTTCATGGGATGGTGACCTATGACAGGGAAAACGATCATCTCCAGAACGGGCCCTCCAGTGTTCAGCTCAGTATGAGTAAGAAAGTATTTCCAGTCCTACCTGCTATTCCCAACACAGGGAGTGAACAAGGGTTAAAGGGTGGCCAGGGGAAAGCGAGGGGCTCTTCCCACACAGCCTTACAGGTTATCACATGCAGCATCTCCTCAGTAAGAGGGCAGAGTAACTAGCCATTTCCTACACTCACATTACATGATTAGGCAGTAACGAAAGAAAAATTCTTTTTTTTTTTTCCCATTTATTTATTTTATTGCATTTTAGGTTTTGGGGTACATGTGAAGAA